ATATTAACTTAATTAATTATTAAATTAATCTGTTGGTTATGAATTTAACTTACTACAATTACAACTTTTACAGATCAAATAAAAATGATAAAATCATCTCTCGTAAAAAAATTCCTGGGTACGCCCAGGTGTGTTGAATTCAGAGTTCGTAATGAATGTCAATGCATTTTCGGTTCTAAGAAAAAAGTTTATATTTTATATTCATAAGTATTATAAACATACTATATATATTTAGGGTAATTCACTAAGCATACTCACCACATTTTTTCGGCTAAATTTCGCATACATTTAAATTCTTATTTTTGGAATTTTTAAGTTGTAGTTAAAGCCGATATTTTCGAATACTTAGATTTTTCACAATATTTAGGAGTGTTTTGTGGTGTACTAACTTTGGTTATTCAAATAAGAACCTATAACAAAAATACCATGAAGAGATGGAGTATTATTACATTAAATCAATTTTGGTTAGCATGCTCAGTGAATCTCCTTTTATATACATTAAATAAGTTTTTAAAAAAATTATATGTTACGGTCCAATAAATGTTCCATTTCGACATAAATAAGGAGGGGAGGGGGGCTCTTTCGCTGCATGTGTATGGTAAAATAAGTAGGGAAATATAAGTCTCAGGAAAAGATCCATCATATGTATTTTTGCAATCCACATAAAATATAGTTTCTGCACCATTTTTCCATACCGAGGTAACGCAGAAATTAATAAAATTCTACTAACCAATAAATGTACATAACTGTATGGGGATATTTTTGAAAATTTAATAAATGTTTCAAATAATGTACCACGTTTAAGGTACCGACTGCATGAAAAATCAGTGGATTTTTACTGGCTATAAAAAAATGTTATCAGGGAAAAAACACATTTTGTAAAACGTCTCAGATTTATTCAGAATCAAAAAAAGAAAAATACGATTTCGCTTTTTATACGTTTAGTATATTTCATTATTTTCAAATTATAATATTATAGTTAGATATATTATATTTTGTTGTCCACCGAAAACGGTTAGTAAAGTAAATTTATCTTAAAATATATCAGTCGCGCACAGCGTTCGATGGGCGCACGTTACGCGTATGCGTTTATTCCGATAACGTTAATGTTCAAACGTGTTTCACATTCAAATCGTTTTTGCACCCACGGTAATATTTTCCAACCATTTGACATTTATACACTCCTATTCTGTATTTTTCTGTTATTCTGTTTTTTTTTTTTTTTTTTTTAACCCATTTAAATTAATTTTATTCAGCACGCGTATCGCGCCTAACCGTTATAGTTTTATACACGAAAATGGGATGATAATGTATTAAACATTTTTTTAAAACACGTTGTCTAACAGTTCGGTATGTATCAATAATAAAGCGTCGTTAATGATTTAATCATAGTATATGGTTACCAATGTAACATTGGCTATGTTATAATTTTGGATTTATGAAATCGTGTTCACGTTTTTAATCGAATTTCAGAATGCGGCTGGAGGAGGGTTGGCAAATAAGTATTATTGTACGTATTACGTGACATATCTATCTCGGTTCGCAGCAGTGGATGTTTTTTCTAATCCTTTTATCCATCGAAATTGTCAGCCATGTACGTAAGATTTAAAGTGTTCAAACTCATATTTAGAAATCTAATAAAACTCCATACGTTTCCCAATTGTAAATATTTGTATTTATATTTAGAAACATTAATTATGATCCTATTAACTGTTTTAATTATAAACATAATTGTAATTTGTCAAAAAGAGATTATTTCATATGNTGATCGTTTGTTTTTGATTCTGTGCGAAGCGAAGAATGTAATTAGTTTCACAAAGATGCTTACTTTTTTATTATTATTTTTTTTTATGAGAACATTTTTTCTACCAAAAAGCATACTCCGATGTATACGATGTAGTGTCTCTACTGAAAGGAAATTTTCTTCGGGTGGTACTTTAAGGGGGTCATTTTTTTTATTTTCCCGGAAAATATATTAGTAAAATATTACGATTTTCTTTTCCTGTGAACAACTTTTCTACCAGTAATTTTACTCCGATTTACAATGAAAACACTTCTCAGGAAAGAAAATCTGACTGGGAAGGTACTTTAAATAGATTATTTTTCCATTTTTCCGTGAGATTTTTCCAGCGAATGTGAAAAATCGGGGAAAAACTGGTAAAAACGTAGGAAAATCGGTACACCATCAAACAAATATTATAAAAGCAAATATTTACTGCTTATTTAATTGCAGTTTTGTATTGCAATTTTAATTTAACATACACATACAGTAAATATGGAACAAATTAAGTAAGTTACTAAGTAAGTAAGTATAGTGAAAGATCTATTGGTTATACTGTAATGTGTGAGTATTTTTAATTTTTTGTGTCTGTGAACAACTTTTCTACCAGAAAAATACGTTGAAAACGGGAAAATGTACGTAAACAATTATTTTATTATTTTAAATTTTGTTTTTTTAATTTAATTAAGTTTAAAATATTCGTAAAGGCTTATAATGTTGACAGAAAGCTTATATTTACTTTTTCTGGACGCAGTAAAACTTTCCCGATAACATTTTTAATTTTGCGAGTTTTTAAGTAATTTTTTTTTGGTAGGTAATCTGATAAATTGTAGATAAATTGTTAGAATCAATAGAAATGCTTGAACATTTGATAGGAGGTTCATTATAATTCATACTTAATGGTAAAAAAAACATTTAGTTTGATGTAGAACTTTTTTATTTTATAAGTTTTATAAGAAAATGTTAAAGAAAATCATAAATATTACGTTCTTTTAAAACATAATTAACTAGCCCTCGCTCTGAACCGTTTTTCATTAGCAATTATTAATCGTTTCATACAAAAATGCATTCAATTATTCTCTATTTCCTACCTTCCCAACTTATCAACAACCACAGTGGCCCACTCATTGTGCAAAGTATGTCTATTTTTTTTTGTTATTATACAATACATTTACATACTTATCTTACAATATGTCTGTTAAGTTAATTAATATTTCATGAAATAATACACAACTCATTCAAAAGCTTAAATATAATACAAATACAAATTACCTATGTATAAAAAACAAAAAGCTTAAATTTATAAATACAAGTGCTGATTTGTCATCATACATATCTATTTTCCGTTTTTCCTAAGTTTTTTTCTCATTTATTGGGAAAACTCCTAGGAAAATCAAAAATTAACATCCTTAAAGTACCACTCCAATCAAATTTACTTTTAGAAAAAGTGCTATCATTGTAAATCAGAGAAAAACTGCTGGTAGAAAATTTGTCCACAGAAAAAAAAGATCGTAATATTTTACTAATACATTTCGTAAATTTTCCCATTTTTTTTTTCGTTTGTTCCCAGTTTTTTACTTCGTTTTTGAATGATTAATTATGGTTAGTTGTTGTTTAAAAATATAAATATTTTTAAACATTTTTTTGCTTACTTACAGGTTAATTACGATTTAACCGGAGGGTTTGTTTTAACCGGGAGATGGTAAGAATGGCTCTTAAAATGAAACAAAATCGATTGAAGTAATATGTCTGGTAGAAAACATAGTTTAGAAAAATTAAAAATAATAAAATCTGTGATGCCGTGGCGTGCCGTAAATATTTGCCATTTTATTTCTAATTTTCTTTCAGGTTTTTCCCAATTCTTTTGAAAACCCCACGGAAAATCTAAAAAATTATCTTATGTATACTATAACTAGATCCATAATTGTAATCTTGTAATTTTTCGCCAAAGTTTTGTCTTCGAAATATTGTTCAAAGAATGAAAAAAAAAAATAAAAAACATACATATCATAGTAAAATCAATACGAAGTAAATAAAAAAAAAAAAATTTTTAATTTTAGATACTGAGTGTAGCGGGGAATGTATAGGTTTTATAAAATTGTTTCTAGTGTACGAAATTTCTACCAAAAATCTTGAGATTCTACCAAATCTCCGATGTGTGCGATGTATAAGTTTTTCCGAAAGGAGATTTTTTTAGTGTGCTACTTTGGGAAGGTAATTTTTTGATTTTTCCGGCACTTTTCACAATAAAATGGAAAACGTGATAAAAAACATAAGAAACACGGGAAATTTACGAAAATAATTGTTGGAATTATAAACAACACACCCTGTATTATGTAAACTTTTTAAACTGATTATAAGTAAACTATTCACACGGTAGTACAGCACACACTGAATAGACATACTTTTTTTTTACTATTGTAGCATATTTGTCTTAAAAAGTAGCTTGTACAACGGTTAGTCGTTGATTTACATTACGCCTCGTAACACTATTGTGTATCGTATCATCATACGCATTGTTATATTAATGTATCCGATCTCATTATTAATTTTACCATTAGCATCTGTATATCTGTGTGGTTCAACAATAATGCTTTATTATTATCTTTTAATTTTGTTATTTGTTGTTATTCATTTAAAAATATTCTTAAAGACTTGAAATTGGGACAGACAATTTATATTTGCCTTTCAGACATGGTAAAATTTTCAAAACATTTGAGCCAATTTTAAGATTTTTATAAGAGTTTTAATATTTTTGTTTGATATAGACCAATTAATAAAAATACGTAACAACGGTTTTCTGTTATTTTAAATTGCGTTATTTGTTTTTTTGTAAATCAGTAGAAAAACACTCGTTAAAACCTAACATCTTCACCGAATATTTAAGTATATTTTTTCATCGAAACGATTTTAGTTATACAACTATACAAACGTACGAGTACGTGCAGCTACGCAAACAATAAGTTTAGCTTAACGTTATAATTTTGCCTACAGAGTCAGATAATATATTACGATTAATGGCAATATTATTTAATAGATACATCGTAATTTTATTGTATGACTTTTATTGTTAAGGTATAAGTAGTCTATAAATTATTTTCAATTGCCAATGTACAAATAAAATACCTACAAAAACCAACCATACACCATATAAACATTACACTATATTATTTGACCATCGACCACTTACATTTTTTATTTATATCGTGTTTTCTTCGTAATGAAGTGTTTAATAAATGTGTACATATTTCTTGTTTTGTGTTATAATCATGTTTTGTGTTTTGAAACAGCAAACCAGGCCGCAAATGATATTCGGGAGTTTATTCGTATCATAAAACGAGAGAAAGAACAAATTCTTTCAAAACGTATTAATTTTGTTGATGACGAGGTGATGTCAATTGACGACTATTTATCAACTATTAGTAAAACAAATAGCAGAAAAAACAAAGGTTCTAAAGGAGCTGAATATATGGATAATACTGAACTAATTACAGAACAAAATGTTTTCGAAGTATCAAGTTTGTTGAACTCAATCATTTCATGTGAGTATTGCGATTTTTTGTTTAATATTATTGATATAGTAAATTTAAGTTTAAATAACTATAAACAAATTAAAAACGACGTTCTTTCAAAAAATAATGCAAATAAAAAGAAAAATATTGCAAATTTGATGCGCAACGAAAACAAAACAGCGCTTGCCCAGTATGTAAATTATCGAACGCCAATATTAACATCAGTGATAAAAATGTTAGAGAAAATTGCTTTTGTATTAGTCAAACTATTAAAATATACGAAAAATTTTGTATCTAAGAAACACGGTATTTTGAAAATATTACTATCATTATATTTATACTTGAATAGAGATATAAATTTACCATTGTACTTGTCGGACATCGATGCTCGTATTGATACTTCGAAAAAAATTATTTTTCAAGTATACCAACAATTAATTGAATACAAAATAAAAAATTGTATACTTCACTTAAATTATATTACCGGGAAGACCTTGACAATACAACGCGTGCCCACTATTGACTTAATTCAATTAAATAATGAAGTAAATAAAATATCGAATTTTCAAACTTCGGATGATCCTAAATTCTTTATACTATCAAACAATAAACCAGAAGATAAAACGAGTTCAATTAATAAAATAATACAAATGATTAATTGTACAAACCATGATAAAAAAGCAGAGATCAAGTGGGAAGGTCGATTAAAAGATATAAAAACAATTTATACAGTTGATATTAAAACAAGTTTTGACATAAAAACTGTTCTGAGATTTGAAAAATTAATATTGAAAAAGATCATCGACATAATTTATTCATTTATATTTGATATATTAAATTCTATATTCAAATATTCTAATGGGGAATTATCATTGATTTATAAATTAATATATAAAATTGAAAATTATATTACTAAATTTAAAAATGAAGGCCAATCATTTTATTTAGTAGATAGTATAATTTTTATTAAACATAAATTATGGATTTTATCATTGCATAGGGCTATTATTAGTAATTCGGGCTATGATTATCTTCAAGATTTCTCACAACCAATACAACAATATTTTAAAAATGACAAATTTAAATTAAAAGATGAATTAGGCGATTATTCAAGTTTGGACAGATGTTTTGAACACATAAAAGATACCGTTATTTATACGGAATTACATCCGGTTATTTCAAATGTATATTGGGAAAAACCGTTTTTTTCTCTTCTTGAGATATCTAATCTTGTCATGGATTATAAAACTTTGTACTTTCCGCAGACCTTTCGTAAATTTAACGATGAAGACGATGTGTGTTTGGTATTAGAAAAAACATTGGTGGAAATATCGGATGATACCATATTTGATTGTTACAACCATAGCATAAATCCAAAAACACCAAAAGAATTAATGGAACATTGCTTTAAACGATTTCATGAAATGCTCGAGTCTGTAATACTTGATTTAAGTGATCTGATTGACGATTATTCTGATTATATCAAACCCACACAAACTGATGCCAATAGATTATTATTATTTCTGATCTATAACAAATATAATGTTGAATTATTTAATTTGAAAGTAATGATATCGATGAACACTAAGCGTATAGAACATTTAATTATATTTAAGTCCATTGTCTATAATTTATTGGTCAGTTTCTCACACAAAAGTAATTGTTCGATTATAGATATTGAACCGAAATATACATTGAGTTTTTACCAAAATAATTGGTCGGAAACTGACGTTTGGTTTGATACGAAGGAAAATTGGCAAGCATATTCTGAAAGAATTAATTTGAAAAATATTTATAAGTATCAAGATTATTTAAAAGGTATTATGAATATTTTCACAAACGCAATTACCCAAGTAAGTAAAAAAACATTATTTGTACGATATAAGTTGTATTGGGATGGAATTCCAAAAACATTTGAAGAAATTCAAACAAATTATACAAATTACATATTTGATTTAGAGGACATCGAAGACTATCAATTGTTTTTGATAAAATGGTTGATCACCCCGGTGTATATAATACTATTTCATATTGTTATTGAAATTATGAATTCAAAAAAAGGACTGGATAAAGATTGTGTTGAGACTTTTTTTGTATTAACAGTGAAACTTTCCGATTTCACCGAATTATCCATTATAGATTTGTTTCCAACAATACACTTCGTTGACCTAATTGCTTTATTTATTCGAACTGTCGATGTGTTTCGTGGAAACGAATACACTAGAATTTCAAATTTAAAAATATTTCTTTTAGATGAAATTTGTAGACTTGGTGTATTATTTAATTTGGACGCAAATTCGGATGCATACGATGAATTTGATTCTAATCGCATAAACGAATTTTGTTTAAATTTAAGTATTTCCGAATCTATATTACAACTTACCACGTATATCGAATATCTTTTGATTAATCTTCAATATGATAGAAAATTTGTTAATTTAATTTATAGCATTAATAAGAAAAAGAAAAATGCTGATATATTGAGTTGAATCCTTATCATAGTCTCTAAAGAATTTGAGTGAGGAGCTAGCATCGCGTACAAACAGAGTCCATACCAATTTAACCATCAAATCCATAAACGATATTTCTTATAAGAACAAAATAGCTGATACATCAAATACTCAATCTCAAGTTTGTTTTATTCTCTACGTAATCTAACATAATGTAAGTCTTATAACCAAACTTAATTTTTTCAAAATACCGCTATTAATTTTATATTTACGTTATTTTTAATAATCCTTATATTTGTGGGTAAAACCACTACATACTTTTTATTTTCAAATGGCAACTTAAATTAAAAATTCCATAAATAGATGAAATATTAGTTAAAATACATTTTAATGTTGAAATGTTTTCTTTTCCGTCAATCCGTTGACAAGGTATTCCACTTTTAAGTTTGGATCTAGGGAGAGTAGTGGAATATTATTAAAAAGCCACGCGCCGTGCTGTCACACAAATTATGTTCCACTACTCTTTCCCAATCTAAACTTAGACGTGAAATATCTTGTCAACAGACTGACGGAAATCAAACATTTCAACACCAAAATTCGTTTTAACTAAAACTCCATCTATTTATGGAATTTTTAATATACGTTGCCATTTGAAAATCAAAATTATGTAGTGGTTTTAGATACAAAAATAAGAGTGACTAAAAATAACATAAAATTGTAGAGCTGCTTGTTTCTTAACAGTTCTATAAAACAAATTCCGAGAAAAGTTAACACTTTCCGAAATAATGAGTGTCTTATGCTTGATTTATCACCCTGTATGTTCTTATGTCCGAGTTATCAATAGTGCACTTAAATCCAGAAATCTTAAATTACAATTGTTGTTATTTCAATAGTATTATTTATTTTTTTTTATCGAAAACTGATTTCATTAATCAGGATTTGGAGTTAGCCGTTTTACAATCATATAAAATATTAACACATAATACCTTTGCTTATTTGTCCCAAACTAATGATAATATAATAAAAAAAAAAAAATAATAAGAAGTTTTGACATGTTTAATGATAAATTATCTTAGAATCATAGAATTATCTATTCTAAAATATTACTATAAAATATTATGAAATCTTGAAATTATATATTGTTATTTTTTCCATATTAAAAGAGTAATATTTAGTAAGAGTAAATTGGTATTATTTTTCAAGTTTTAGTGTTATATTTTGATAATGTGTCCAATATGTATTTATTGATTTATTTTATGTTTTTGATGAAAAATAATAGAAAAGAAATGTAACTTGTTTTGTCTTATTGATAAGAAAAATACTCACATTTGCATTGTTTTAACTAATATTCCATATTACGATTTAGTTTTGTGTATTTTGATAAATTATACGTAGAATTTATATAAGTTAATACAAAATGTAATTTTTCATTTTCTTTGCTATTTTGAAGATTTTAGTGCATATTATGCATATTTCAGCATTTATTAGCATTTTAAAATCCAATCTTTGAAAATTACTCATTATTTATATTTATTTGTTTCATTTGTTGCCGTAATTGTGATTATTTTGTATATTTGAATGTCCAATGTACACAGAGTTAGTACTTGTTATTTATTTTGTAACATTATACTCATAAAAGAGCGCATGTCTGTTAAATATACAATAAACAAATGTATAAACAATAAAGTGTCTATTAGTTATCACCGTACAACCTATCTACTTATCTGTTATCCTCATCTTAACCTATATATTTTTACGAAATAATCAGATTTTCAAACACAAATCTTATAAATTAAACACAATAATATGTAATATTATGTATGTGTAATCAAGTTTCTGGTAGAAAAATAGATTTCACTATGCGATAGACATAATATACATACATAGTCAAAAATGAATTTTATATAAATAAGTGTGGATAATGATAATATAATAATTGTGGATCTGAAATATGTCTTAAGTCTCCGGAGTGCAGAAAATGACATCTCTGTTGCACCTAATGGAAGATATTGGTATTTTTAACATACTTCTTAATAATTTATTTTACTCTGACATTAATTTGCATAGGATTTTATCATTCTTTAAAATATCGATGGTGCCTCGAGTGTTTTAAATTAAAATATTCTTTATTATCGATACATTGAAAGCCATATTATCTCTGTATAATTTTGATTTTACTCGGGATATTTTTCTCAATACAAATTAAGTTACACATAAAATGTCATAAAATATGTTCCTATATTCATCTTTAACAGTAGGAAATAGTATATTTCACTACTTTTAGTAAAATGGTTTGGGATTATTTTTACTCTTTTTAAGTCAAATTCAATAGACTTTAAATCTGTTGCTTTATTTCAAATATCATCAAATAACGAATTTCGTTGTTCTTTATTAAAGTTTGAAATTGATTGGAAGCGAAATTCAGCTATACTCATGCTATACTCAGCTATTCCATGTTTGGAAAGGCCATAGTATTTAAGATTTTCGTCAAAATCTCTTATTAAATATATATATATGTTATATTACACTCAATTTTTTTTTTAACCATTAAGTACGACTTTTAATGGACCTCTTGTCAAATTTTCAAATTAAAAAAAAATTAACATCTAAAACATTTTTGAGCGTGTAGCTCATTCGAAAGATTTATATTGTAATTTGTAGGAGTAAGAGTGTTTGTTAACAGATACATATTTGAATAGGAGAAATAGGAAATAGTAGAAAAGGATTCTGAAGGGAGTTCAGTGAACGTCTATAACAATAATTTGCCAGTGTAAATTATGGCAAACCACCACAGTGTTTCGTGCAAAAAAAAAAACAAACGGTGTATTTTTATTTTCTAACTAACGTTATACCGGCTCTACACGTTCGTCTTTAAACAATATAGACAGAGTACGTATATAATAATATTGTTATATTATTATTAAACCATTGTTAATCACGTGGAGTGTTCGGCGTTACCGATTATTATTTATCATTTTTTTTTTTTTTTTCGGGTTCTATAATTTTCCGGTGTCGTTAGAATATTATTATAATATATTGACCGAACGAAACCGCGTTGTAATAATAATAATAATAATAACATAACAATAATATGTGAGATGTAAAAATTGTAAAACCATGAGGGCCACCGCTCGCGCACACGGAAGCCGAAGGGCAAATCATTAAAATTCTTTACGTATTGATATAGGCAAGAGTTATCCGTATTATTATTGTTGTTGTTAAAAGACGTCGGGGGGGAAAAAAAAAACACAGACTAAAGAAACATTATATATTACATAGTCGCTCGCGATCGAACAAAGTGTAGGTACCTGTACGCCGCGTAATATTATTACATGTATAAAAAAAGGAACGTAGGCGATAGTGATACGGATAATAAAATAATATGTGTTCCGGTTTAACGTACCAGAGAAACTGAACGAAAAACGGCGCGCGCAGTACTCGTTAAAACGGAAATACATACGAGAGACGAACCGTTCAAAGAAGAAAAAATATACAAAATAAATAGATCGGTACATTATATTGTGTTACACGGGCGAAAGCCGAGTTCGAGGGTCCTGCGCTATTCTCGTCGGACGTCCGGACGGACGGTCGGCCGACGAGCAGCGACGGCCGTTCGACCGGAAACATTCCGTCTGTAAAGTTATTGTTCCGTCCCGTACACCGCGACATGATATCGAATATTATTTGATTGCATTATAATACTGCGCACGAGAACAAATACAAAATATCATTGTATTTATATGATTGCGGGCGGCGGGACGATGTTCGCGACGACGGCGGTCGAATGAGCAAAACGCGCGCGCGTGCCGTACAACCTGGGTACGTGTATTGTCCGATCGAGCCGTTCGACCGAAAATATTGTACGACAATAATATTTCGGCGAATTCGTTTCGATCACGTTAGGCACATAGAGTGATGATTTTTTTTATTTTTTTCCCGGATTTTATTCTTTATGCTTATGTCGTTATTTTTGTCGAATTTTTTTCCGAAAACAGAGACCACGCGTTGCGTCCATTCGTTACTGACGTGTTCAAAATGTACGACGCACTGAGATGCGCGACATAATATATTTGAGTACCTGTCGCACCTCTTTCACAAAATATCCCTCTGTACTATTGTTTTTTTCTTTAAACTTGGACAAATGCTTAACAACCGTCCTACAAATGACCGAGCGTAATTTTCACCTTCTTTAATTCTTCACCACGCATCTAGACTGGTGTATACAAATCGAGCATTAAATTTTATCGTCGGTTTTAATATCGATGGTTCGCCAAAAGTTCAGTATTAGAGATTTAAATTGATTCTGTTCGATGGTTTACAAAAGACCGTCTAGGGATCGTCTATGGTTCTGCACGGAAAACTCGAGTAAAATTATCTATATATCAATACGTCGATAATCGACCGTAATAGGTAAATAGTATTATCCATTAATTTATATAGGTACATACTTTATACCAAATGCACATGTTGACGTTTTTACTATCTGCGTACAACCACCCACTCACCCATCATGGGGCAGATCCAGGACAAGATAATGAGAGGGGGCGGGGTGATTTTTAAAATGTATATAAGGCACGCATTTATGATGAGCTCCACGATGAATCGAACTATGGTCGTAATGCAGCTAAGCGTGTGTTGAAGAGTTAACTGGGCAGCGTCTCCCATATCAAACCCCTAGATTTGCCCCTGCTCTAGCCAAATATCATAATACTATTGTGGCACACGCGAGCGAGGTATCGGTGTCGTGTAACCGACAATTGATTATCGAGAAATGACGAACACAGAGGTTTTTAGGTTAAAGCAAACGGTGGTTTATTGATGAACACGAATTAATCGAGTAATACGATAGACGATCGATGTTGGTCGAGTCGGAATGAAACGTTCGGTTGCGTTGTGTTCGAAACCGGCGTTGGTCCATGAACGGCGCGAAGTCTGTGCGATTCGTCGACAGCTAAAAGAAGAGAGCCGGACGAGCGGTCGGCGGTGCGGCCGGCCCGTCATCACCGTGCAGGGGGCCGCAAGGTGGCCAACTCTCCCGCAGTAAGTTACCCCGGAAGAAACACCGTGGTGGAACTCCGGCACATTATAATATTTCACTAGATAACACAATATTTATCATCTATCTTTTTCCCGTGTTAATTGACAGTTCTAATGACTAAATGAGCACAAACCCGTGAATTATAGCGTTGTTTTATTATAAATGCGAATTTATGTTTAATTGTACGTCGGGGTGTGAAATTGAACGTACGGATTTAAGCATGTTCTCGCGGCAAATGATTGGTATTTTTGTTTTAGCTTAAACTACCCTTAAAAATAATTATAACTTATAATGAATATAAAAAATGTTTAAAAAAAAAACCGAAATAAATTTTACTCATATTTATCCGAAGTATAGATAAAATCGCTTGTTCGTGATAAAAAAATCCACTGTATATTAAGTGCGAAAAAATGCCATTTGAACTACATTATTTAGTTAGCGTATAATTTAAAAATTCATCATAAATAACAATATTTTTAGATGCTGTATTATATTCTTTCCGGTAACGTAGGTACGCATAAATGATTTATATATTTTTCCGGAGAAAATTTCGAGCTGCAGGCAGCTTTCTTCTACGGTATGTATACTAAACTTAATGACTTGATAAAACTGACATTATTACTTTTGATAAAACCACTCGCGTTCACTATAACCCACACGAAAATGTAATATATTATTTTTACAATAAAAAATAGCTTTTCGTGTATTATATACATTATATTGTAATGTGCAACGCGGTAATATAATATTATGTACCGTATTATATGATATAAAATATAATACGAAAAAAAACCCCATAAAGCATAGTTAAAAAAAAAAAGAGCCGATACTGCTGATAGGTGTGCTAATTTTGCAAGTGAGAAGCCGAAAAACTAGGATGGTTATGTACAGTAATTTGATGTCAATCTGCACGT